TGTGTGTGTGTGTGTGTGTGTGTGTGTGTGTGTGTGTGTGTGTGTGTGTGTGAGCGAGACAAACACAAATCAACAAAACTTGGCATAAGCTGGCCGTCCGGACTGAACCAGCGATGCTATTGAGAGAGATTGAAAGAAATGGCATGCAGGCAGAGAGGGGGGGGGAAGTCCACAATGACGGGAGCTGAATAAGCCAGAGCTTTGGTCGACATGGGGAAGAGAGATGGGGAAAGCAGGTCAAGACGGATATTGCGACAGGATGTCGAAAGATGGAGAGTTGGGGGCAAAGGAGGGAGGATGATGAGGAGAAAGGGCCTCGTTCGACACCACTTGGAAATTGCTGTTTTTCAAGGAAGCGTCTTTTGACCCCGCCCTAATCTAATTGTTTCCACATCCCCGCGGCCAAGTGTCCACCCTTGAAACGGAAGTGCGGCCCAGGCAAATCGACGAAAATCCCAAGGGTGCCTCTAGAGGTCACTTGGGGCGCAAGGGTTTCACCCTTCAAAACGGGGAATACACGGACCTTTTTGTTTTTTTCTCCACCAATCATCACTGTTCCTGATGCAATGCCGTCAGCACTTCAGTTTCAAGGACCATAGTCTCAAGGGTTTCGTCTAGGGGTTGTGGAACGAAAAACAAGTTAGGGGACCTTCCGTGAGTTAGGGTGCCCTTGAAACTCGAGTATTTTCAAGTGGTGTCGAAAGAGGCCCAAAGGATGCTCTCTTTTGGTATTTTTTTGCCTCTTACTCAACGGGTATCCAGTAGGGGCATTCTGGAAATTTGGATCCGGTACCGGCAGGGGCATAAGGAACATATCCCAGGCCCAGACGAACCCGGGGATTTTTCGGAAACTTGAAAAGTTGCAGAGGGGCACGACAGGGTAAGTCGGCCGTTGCAGGGGCATGCCGCAAATAAATGGATTTCGGAGGGGCATTTCGAACCTCCTCGCCCCCCCCCCCCAAAAAAAAAAAAAAGGAAAAAAGCTCTCTTTTTGATTTTAGAGCCGAAGACGGTAGGCATTCCCAAATTTCCCGCACGGTCGTGACGATGACCACTGTCAAGGGCTGGGCCATCTCCTATATCCTGTCCGCTCTACCGCTGTCGGGGGCCCCTCCTTCCCCGTGTGCATGCTGCCTCGGTTTTTGAATCCGTTTTTGAATTCCGTTTTTGAATCCGTTGTTGCATCCGTTTTTGAATCCGTTTTCCCGCCGGCGCGTACACGGGAAACGAATGGAGTCCTTCGGGACACCCGTTAAAATTGGAACGATACGGGAAACGAATGGTACACAGACACCACGAGTTTATAAGTGGCTCAACGATGTTAGTCAGGTGCTAGGGGGGCAAGGTCCCACTTGCGCGGATGAAGAGATTCTGGCCGTTGATCTCTGCTATCTACGGTCAATATCGCTTAATAATTCGTGTAAGTGGGACCTAGCCCCGGGTGTTTGGGGTGGATATATGGCTCCAGTGGAAAGGCGTAGGTCGAATCGGTCGGATGATTGATTCAGGGCATGGGGCATGCTCACAATACCGGCAGGACTTTTTCCAGTTCTCCGTGCTCTCCGTGCACGTAATTGCGGTCCGGTGCATCCACGCACGGTTGGAAAAGCGGTCATATACATCCAGAAAAGTCCTACCGTAGTCCTACCGTAGTCTGAGCAAGGACTCACTTCGACCATCGTCGGGGCCAGCCAGCACCATTCGAGTGCCCCGACCGTTGGGGGCGGCTGATTTACTTGAAATTACTTGAAAAACGGAAAAGAAAGAGGGCACGGCAGAGCTTTCTTGAAAAAAAATCCTGTATCAATCCTCCAATCATCACTGAACTTTCTGTTTTTTTTTTTTCTTTTTCTTTTTGAAAGTTTTGGTGATGAAGTCGCGATCTTGAAAGTTTCGGTTCAAAGGGCGACTGCCTTGTGATATCATCATTGAAATTGACCGGCCCCAGGTAACTCAAGGGATTTTGTTCTGATCGTCTGATTGTATCTGGAATCGAACTTTGGTTTGATTCATATTTCAACAGTTCGTGGGTGTACCAACTGAGCTAGGCGCGTTGGCTCTCCTAGAAGATACTTTTTCCTCCTTTCTCTCTCCCCCCCTTCTACTACTACTACTCCTCCTCCTCCTCCTCCGTCTCTTTCCGTGTCTCTCTGTGTGGTCTACTTCCCGTCGTCTTCAACGTTGGGCATCTTCATTTCTTCGAAAGCAGCAGCTGCGTGGCTATGGCGGATCCGCGGTCATTGAGGCGCGTGCAGCAGCAGTTCAAGCTGAGAGGGCTAGCAGTCACTCTGGACGCGGCCCGAGCGGTCGCACAACACATGAGCGACCCTCGGTTCCTCACGGTGGAAGAGGCGTTCGACGAGATTCTTGCACGGCTCGAAAGGAAAAATCGTAAGTTGGCATCGTCGCCGTTGAATCACTCTCTCTCTCTCTCTCTCTCTCTCTCTCTCTCTCTCTCTCTCTCTCTCTCTCTCTCTCTCTCTCTCTNTCTCTCTCTCTCTCTCTCTCTCTCTCTCTCTCTCTCTCTCTTTTGGTTTGTCCGGGCTCCTTTTCCAGCATAGTGGTCCTTCGTCCCTCATGTCTGGGCTGTCTTCTTCTCTCTTCTCCTCTTCCTCTTCCCCGGCTCCCTACTTGATTGTCTGCCCTGCCGGCTTCTCTTTACTTGCTGCCTTCCGACTGTCTGTATTGAATACACGTTCGCGGTAAGGTACATTGGCGAGAAGCGAAGCCCCGCTGCCTCGATCCGGCCTGTGAAGCAGTCTCTTATTGTCAATGGGCGCCGATGTCGGTCAGCGAGCGCGCATTCCTATCATCAGGAAAGGAAAAGAAAAACAAGAAAATAAAAAAAAATGAAGGTCTAAAACAGTGCGAGAAATGAAATACGGCGACCAATATGCATCAATCAACCAATCATTGTTTATGAATTAATTAATTAGATAACCAATCAATCAATGATGGCGAATTTGAGTAGACAACCAATTAGTGAATTAATCACTTACGGACCAATTTATTCATCAACCAATCAACCAATCAACGATATAATCAGGTTATCAATCAATCAATCAATCAATCAATCAATGTATTCATCCATTCATTCATTATTCAATCAACCCATCCGTGCATGAATTCATTGACAATTTATTAATCTACTTATGGGCCAATTTATCGATCAATTAACTAATCAGTAGACTAATCAACGCTCCAGCGATTGACTTCGTCATTAATCAATCAATCAATCCCTCTGAATCCCTTTGTCCCTCCCTCCCTCCCTGCCTCCCCCCATCTATCCGCCCATCAATCATGGCATCCAGTCATCAATTTGTTAATCAATCAATTCATCGATCGGATCACGAGCAACTTTTTTTTTTCTTTGTTTTTTGAAAAACATTGTGGCGTTGTTATAATCTGTTTCTGTTTTGCCATGCAAGCCTCGTCAGCTGGGCTTCCTCTGGAGAGGTCGTCCCCCTCTTCAGGACTGTCTACGCTCCACGTGACGGCTAAGTGGACGAAGATAACATGGAGGACAACATCAATCGGAAAAAAACGAGGGATAAAGACGAAACTCCATGCACAAATTACTTGTCCTCCTCCCCCTATCTGCCTACGATTCAACGGGTAGTGAGTGTG